TGTTGTGATTGTATAATATTATTCGTGGGTAATTGAAACTTCTAAAGTATACTATTATATACCTATTATAGTATCACAGTTTGTTGTTGATGTATAACAAGTTATAAGTTACCCTAATGGCTATTGTGATATGATTAATTTGGAATTTATTATAAGTACAATTTTTTGTTAATAGGTACCATAGATAAGTATATAATAGGTATGTCTTATACCTAGACTCACATACCGTCTCCGATCAGAATCGTCGCAGAGCCACTTTTTAATATTAAAGATATAAATTCTAAAATGAATTCAGGCCTACAAAGTTGACACGAGTCGTGAAAATATTGTAACAAAAACAGTGGATCGCGGGTAAAAAATGTTGAACACTGTACTAGTGAAAATCATAGAAAAAATGAAAAATTTTTTTATATTAAAAAATATAAAATTTTTAGGTAGGTATGTATAATATCTTTGAATACAATTTAGATCCACTCCAAATTGTAATAAATATTACTTGGGCATACTTTGTACCATCAACCCCCCCACCCAAGTAAAAAAAAATAGTAAGTATACGCAAAAAAAAATAATAAAAATAGTAGAGGAGATCCGTCCCCTCCCAATTCGAGGACAGTGGTATTATAATTTATTGAGTTTATTGACTCTTTGATTAAATAAGTTTTGTTGACGACGAAGTAGATCCTAACTTCAATGAATAAATACCTACTTAATTTGAATGTATTCCTAAGTAATGTTAATAAAATAATAATATAATGTAGTATTGTAGTGTTTTATAATAGCCATAGGTTAATTAATTATATATACTTTTATAAGAATCATAAATGTACTATATATCATCCTTTATATATTGATGATGTTTGTTACTATTGTTTTTTATCATTTTATTTTATAGTCACCATTCATACTCGTATTAACCAAACTCATCTCATCAGTTTCAGAATCGTCGTATTATATCTTATTATTCATTACTTTTAATATAAACTTTATACATGTTTTCTGTTCTCTTTCTCAACAAACCTACATTATTTTTATAAATATTTGCAAATGGTTCAATGATTGTAGTTTAGCAATAACTTTTTGCAGTCGATGTACCAACCAAAACAGATAAAGTGTTAAACATTTTACATAATAAAGCCACTAGTAAGTGGTGTTTAAACGGTTTTCGTATTAAAAATAAATTTGAATAAAGATGTTTCGTAATATCGAACAATTTAATTATTTAAAAATAATTTAATTCCAAGTAAAGTGTATTGGTTTAGATAAAAATAATTCAATTAGAAAAGTAAATATTCTAAATACATTTAAAAATAATTATATATTAATTGTTTATAATGAATAATCGGTATTCTTGTCGTATGCGGTGTACCGCATACTTGCTGTCTACCACACATGTTTCTATACATCATATGCGGTCTACCACACACGACACACGTCTTGTTGACTACCTATGACTGTTCCCAACGATTTGACGGCAATGATGATTAACCTTTTTCTTAACAATGTAATTTCTATATCAATAATAATAATAATTATAATACTATATAGTAAGACCTGGGGCCAGAAATAATCATGACTGAAGTCGTAAACGTATGAGGTAATCAGTTAAGTTTGTGCTGTAATACCTATGTGATATGTTATCTGAAGTTTAGACACTTTAAACATTATGTTAGCCAAACATTTCAATGTAATTATTCAATCAGAGGAAAATAATATAACTTTTTTAAATAAAAAAGGACTTTCACTATTGAAATGATGGCAGAAAACTTACTGATTCATGGGTGTTTGTCAAAAAGGCGAAAGTGTGTTATCGAGCAATAGGTAATTGGTTGCAGAAAGAAAGAAACAGACAGACATTGCACGGAATAATGTAAAATTAAATTTATATTGGTACAGAAATACTCTCAGATGAATGGCTTGCATATAAAACATTAGAAACCAAAAAGTATGTATATAAAACCGTGAACCATTCCCAAATTTTTGTCAATTCCATCAGTGGTGAGCACAACCAAAGCATAAAAAGTTTATGGGGAAGGCTTAAAAGTGAATTGTAAAAAAAAATGCATGGTACATCACCATCATTGCTGCCCTCGTATTTAAATAATAAAAATTATGATAGAATTTTTTGATTTTTATATATATGGACATATTATAATATTATATTTGTTATGATTAATTTAATTTCTTAAAAGTTTAAAATATGATGCTAATATGCTCTAAAAATATCCTAAAATATTCTCTAAATATTCCTTAAACTTGTAAATATGCAAATAATATGATATTTTTTTTCTTAAATAGTTCAATAAAAACAATAAATAACTGTTACGGGCCATTCCTTTTGTAACAGGTAAATAATTTAATATAAAAAAATTTAAAACAGTTTCAAGTAGGAATATAAATATAATAAATTATATTTTATATATATTTTTCAACATATATCTATGTATGCACTATGTATGGGAATGAATTATTATATATAGTACAATATGTAAGTTTTATAATATGTTTAGGTGTTTGTTTATTGTTATAATGATTAATGAATATAATAATACTTTTTAAAATGTTGTGTAAGTAAATAATATGAGCGTGTAAATTATTACAGTTTAAAATGGTTATAAATTATATATCAAGTTACATTTTTTAAATTTAATTATTAACCATTACACCAACAAATTGCAAGACTCAATATGTATATAATTTGAAATGTTGGAAATATTATTTAATTAAAAATGTACATTTCAATAAATACAATAGTTATATAGTTTATATAATTTGTTATTTATACCAATGAACATCAAATGTTTATTCAAAATAAAATAAATAAATAGTTTTTAAATAAAAACAAAAAATGTTCAATCTATGCTCCAATCAAGTGTTTTCTATACCAAAAACGGGCTCTAAAGTCGTCTGAACAAGTCAAAAATGCTGCTGAATTTGGAGAGTGCACAATTGAACCAACAGGTCCATTATGGCCTGCAAAATAATTCACAATTAAAACATTTTAAGAGGATGCTACATGGGCATTTGTTGTCATCGTCTTACAAGTGCGTAAAATAGCAAATTTACGTTCAGGAGAAAGCGTTTAGCTCTAATTTAAAAATTAGAGTGAATTCACCTATTATAAAACATGGTAGTAGGTACATTATCTGTGTTTATATGTGGGTTTTTCTACGACAGTTCAATTTTTTAGAAAGTGATGAGTATATAATATAACGTAAATTAAAAACGCTCATAACTCATTTAAAAACTGTATAATTGTAAAAAAAATCCCACGAGCAAACACAGATAATGTTCTTACCATTAAGTTTCATAATAGGTCGATTCACTCTAGTTTTTAAGCTAACTGAGTTAAACGTGATCTGCTGAGCGTAAATTTGCAATGTTATGCACTTCTAAGACGGACCAATATTTGTGTGGAGTGCTCTTAATAAAATAAATGAATTTGACAAAACAAAATACCTAGAGATAAAAGTTGCTGCCGAGAAGCATTGCGTGCATTCCATGAGCACAAAGTTGTAGTGACTTCATCTGGAAACATGACATACTCCTCAGTATGATTAAACAATGCTTGTGTACGATGTACTTGTTTTCCTATTCAGAAAAATTGATTATTTATACAGTTTTAATGAAAACAAATACTAGTTTACCAGTTGTTCCAGCTCCTGGAATCTACTAGTAGACATCTCCTAAAGTTTCACTAAAGAATCTTTGCCTGATGATAAGATTTACTACAAATGATAATAGAAAATTATTTAATATAGGTAATGTTTATAAAAATAAACATATTTATAAACATTTATAAACATTTTCACCTTTCCATTTCTTATGAATGCCACAGAATACACTTGACTACCATCATGCGCTTTTTAAAATGTGTTAACACATTTATTAAAAATACCGTCCCACAATTTAATTGAACCATCTCGACTAGAAGACACAAAATACCTGGCACCTGGTTCATACCTAATACATCATAATAAGCAATACAAATAATTGAATAGACATAACACATAAGATAATTTTTGTATACTTTATTGATGTAACAGGACCAGTATGTTGATGACTAGGAACTGAACAAACATAACATTGAACTGTATAGGTGGCATTGTTTTAAATTTGTTTAGTGGTTAAACTAACCAAATTACTATAATACGTAATTGAAAAATCTAACATTTTTTTAGTAACTTCTATTATAAAGGTTTTTAGTAGGGAACAAAATTTTCGAAAAAAAAGTTTTTTCCGAAAAAAATCTGGGTTTTTTCGGAAAAATTTGGTTTTATTTAAAATTTCCGGGAAAAATGGTTTTGACGAAAAAAACTGGATTTAATACATTTGGACTAAACAAAATCTTGTATATAAAATGATAGTTTAATTAGCTATAATCATAACTATTGTTTGCATTTCAATTAGGTACTCAATTGACTATTCAGTGAGATACTAAGTGTAAATAGTTTTTTGTGGGTCTTCGTAATATGAAAAAGCCACATTGTAATCAAGTTTAATGAATCCCATAAGTAATGTATATAAGTGAAAATATGATTTATTTCAAAAATTAAACATCCAAGAAGTTATAATTATTTTAGTTACATTCATAAAACATAGAAAATTTTGGACATGTTAAATCTCAAAAATACAATTATTCAAAATATAATTTTAAACATGCATTTGACAATACTAATTCAAAACATTTTTTTAATTTATATTGAGAAAATATTATTAAGGAACTTGTAAAATCCATAATAATACATTCATATATTCAAAATAATTTATATAAAAAAAATTTATCGTCTGGTTATTTTGTAAACAATTTTATTGATTATGTAATTTTTTTTGTACCCTTTCTAACATTAATTAATTTCTGATTTTTGTTTTATACTTCTGCAAGCCTAAACTTTATTTGTGATCAAATTATTATTAGTAAGCTATATATAGATAGTATATTAAGCATTTAAATGATAATAAATTAAATTTAGGTTTGCAGAAGTTATGTTTAAAATTATAAATCACAATGTATAAGGGTCATTTAATAGGGCATCCACATTGAACTCCATTACTTTGTCTGCAATTGGTTCTTGATTGTCCTGTATACTTCTAATAACTTCTTCAATATCTAAATCACTTATCACAGGCAAATCATCCACGTTTTGATCAGCTACAAATAATAATAATAATATAAATATTATAAATTGTGATTAATGACAAATATAATGACAGCATATTTAAGGTGACATCCATATTGCATGAATATGATTAATAAAATGTATGATACAACAAAAGTTAATAAAAGTTAAAAATAAAAATTGAATGGGTTTTATGACTTTCTAATGACTTATAAAAAACTTTGTTCAAAAATGTATTAATTTAAAATGTGTTTCATCAAATATTTAAACATATCATAAATATCTGATGTTTCAATGATGATTTAGTAGCACCAAAATTAAATTAAATAAATAAAATTACATTGTGTAGAAATTATATTATCAACAGCTTCATTTTGTTGAGCTTCATTTATTGTTCCAGATGTTGATGTCTTATTGATGTTCTTTGGCACGCTTTGTCCAGAATTCTATAAATAATGTATATAAAAAAACAATTAATAAATAGTCTTAATAGAGAATGTTAAAAGGCATGCGCAAACTCTTGCTTCCACGGAAACTCATAAAAATGAGAGCTATAGGGCCCAAAAGCATTTTGAAAGCCATTAGATACAGGCAAAGTTTTTTAAATAAAGATAAAAAAAAATTGGGCTAAAGTATATTGCTCTGCTGTACATTAGGTATGATGTGGGTTAGTAATTTATTCAATTTGATAAAATTTTCAAGATTTTGATGAATTACTTTTTAAGTGTCAGGAATAAAAAAAAAATAAGGAAAAATGGAAATTTTACAGAAACCAGTTTTCAACATACCTAATTGATTTTATTTTTTTTACAAATATTAAAGTTACACGAACAATTTTTTTTTATAACTATTTCAATTTTAATTTTTGACGAAATTCATCACAATCACATACATTTGAAAATTATTTTAAATTTGTTAGTAAAAATTCACAAAATTTTTAATTTGTATAATTATGGAATGAATATTTAAAACAAGGTTTCTTATAAGTAGTTTATGCTGTCCAATAAATCCAAACAATATATAAATACATTTCATTTTTATAAATATTTTAAGTTCAAATTTGATCAAAATTAAATATTTAAACTAATAATAACGATTATAGTTATTTTGTTGTAATTTAAAAATATTATTCTTTGTGGGCATTTGAAACTTTTAAAGTATATTATTATAATTTATACACACATTATTATCAAATGCAGTGTCTTGGAAAAAATCAATTCAACCTACTGTTTTAGTAATAGTAAAATAAATTACTTTAGTAGCAATAATATCCTAAAATATACTAAGTTATATAGGCTAACTGACCATCTTCGCTCGGCAATAGTTTTTTGAATACAATGATTTTATATCATTGAATTCAAATTTAACACATCCATTTGTGACTTAATTGATATAAAATGATGTAAATATATGTTTTGTTTAATGCCTCATTAAATATTTCTCAAATAATGTTTATTGTTACCTATTTCCTTAAAATTTAGTGGTTTTATGTAAAAAATCAAACTTATCATATAGCTCCTAAGAAACAAGACCATCTTCATGATTAGGAAAAAAAATATGAATATAATATAATGGTTGAAACTGTATTTTTAAATTATTTAAAAAATTGATAAAGTAAACACACCTTTTTTGTACTTTTGTCAATAGAGAAGCTCAGCCCAGCTTCAATCGCTAAAATCATTAAATTATTCATCAAGATTGAATTTTCAAAAAAAGTATATCTACTCATTTTTAAATTAAAAAAATTATGCAACCTTAATTTTTTGAGAAAATTTCCTATGAAATTAATATATGGTTGAATTAATATCTACTCACAAACTTAATAGGATGTCAGCGCACTAGTTGGTTTCTCTCTCTGACCCACACGCAACCTAACAAATTTTAAGTTCACAATAATAATTATAATCATAATGATTTCTAAAATGTTGTGAAAAACCTCGTAAAAATTTAACAGTAAGGTTTAGGATTATCTAGGGCATCTCATAAGCTTTTTATTATATTTTAATTTTAAAGTGAGTTAAAAGTATTTTTAAATTGTAAATTGTTTGTACATCCTCAAATACTTATAACCAGTGGCGCAATTATCAGGAGTGTTGGGTGTGCAATTCACAGGGGCCCCCGATTTTTGGGGCCCTGCAATCTCATATACGATATTCCTACTATAAAATAATATAATAATAATTAAATATTTATACAATTAATATAATATAATCTATTAATCTATATATATACATATATATATGTATATTAATTATTATAAAATAGAAGCCCCTTTTTTGAATGTATGAGCATATCTCGAAAATAACTCTAATTATTTTAATATGGTTTTCACTAATAAATCGGTCGAGTCATGGGAAAGGTTAATGTATAAATGTATAATAATTTTCTTTGGTAAAATTAATCGGGTGCCGGGTAGCCGAAAATAATAACAATTTATGTCTATATATATATATATATACATACAAATAAATGTTTGTCTGTATGTCATTGATCTCCTCCTAAACCAACTGGACATTTTTTGTGTGTTTTTGAGTGAGTCCCCGTATGGTTTAGATTCACAACTAGACCCAGTTGGTTCACCTGGAGAGGTATTTTGAGATTTACGATAGATATTTTTGTTTATAAATGGCTGCTTTATTGGTTATAGGAGAAAAATAATAAATAATTAGTAAAAATTACTATTTTAAATGTTTGCCAATAGTTATTCTGGCAGATGAGGTAAAAGGATCCATCAAATCGTCGCATGGTTATGGTTTAAAAAAAAATAATAATATCTTAAAACAAACATGAGCGTTATGTATATATTTGTAGGCAGTTGCTATTATATAGGTTCTCAAAAACTACTTGACCGATTTTGTGAAAATTTCAAATTATTCTTGGAGATATCAGGAATGTTTAAAGAGTAGTTTAAATCACGTTTGATTTATACCAAGTGCTATACTGTTTGATTCTTGCTAGCAGGTAAGGGCCCAGGTCTAAAAATGTTCACATGGGCCTCTTATTATCAAGTTGCGCCACTGCTTATAACTAGCTTTAAAATAAAAATATCATAAAATGACTAGAGATGCCCTAGATAATAATCTTACCTTTAAATTGTATAAAAGGTAATTTACTCTAATTTTATTTTAGAAATTATTATGGTTATAATCATTATTGTGAGAGCAAAGTTTGGTATGTTGCGCTTGGGTCAGAAAGAAAACAAATAGTGCACTGACGTCTGACACCCTCTTAAACATGAATTTAATATTATTTCTAGTATGGTTTTAATAATAACAGAATTGGGCAGACTATTAAGGTCAGACTTTGGGCAGACTTTGCAGAAGCAATTAACATCAATAAATGATTTAAAGACATTCACAAAGTTTAAAGCCACCTTTTACACTATTTCTAAAATTTTTCTTAACATAATTAATGATCAATGTATATAACTGATTTTTCTACAATGAACATTAATATAAGGTTTTTCTTACAACCAGAAAGCCTTTAATTTAGATTATTAGGTCCATACTGAAATGTATTAATTACAATAAAAGTTAGTACACTTTGGTATAAAAAATTATGATTTGAGCAACTTGCAACAAGGGAGATATTCTATACCAGTACCTAGGTACCAAAATTAATTAAATAATTTTAAGATTAAAAATAAATATTATATTACATCAAGTGGCGGAGATGTAGGATATTCACGTTCTTTGGCCATTTGAATTGCCATATGGACATCATTAATATCAATTGTATTCTTGCCCATTAATTTTGTCAATGATCTATTTTTTTCCAAAATCCTAATTAATCAAAAAATAAATTTGTCATCGAAAAAAATACACATTGATTCAAAGTAGTTACTGTTATTAAATTCCACCAGTAGTTCATCGTATTCATGTTCTAAATTTATCACCATCGCCACAATGATTTGAATTTTGAGAAACTTTAGGCAACGATTTTTCTTGCTAAATGATTTTGCCAAGTCAAAATCGATAACGTATGACCGGACTTCGGATTCCTGTGAAATGAGTAGGTACAATATTTAGATATAACTTAACGATACAATAAAAATGTATAAAACACATTGATACCGTACTAAAAATGTGGAGGTACTAACTACGAACAATTATAAAACTCAAATAACTAACGAAACGAAATTACGACTTCATGCACGGTGACGTAAAATACAACTGAGGGTCAAAGCACGACACAACTACACAACAGTAGTATGCGTCTAGGGTCCGATGGCGCGACTGACTCGACTGACCAGTGACCGGTCGTGGCCAAACGATACCTAAAAATTATATTATTGATAATCAGGGACTCGCATGATAACCATTAAATGGTTATTGGTTAATATCACGGACTAAGATATAATGGACTGGAAAAGACAAGGTGGGCGGGTGACGAGGGACGGCCCGCAAAAGGTTCCTCTGTTATCATCAACACTCATAATCGAAAGTTTTCAGCGCTACCAGTGGTTTTATTTAGCGTCATATTTTGTATCTCAGTCCGTGTTTTATACAGATGGCGCTGTAAACTCTGGATTATGGTTGCGACCCCCCGCATTTGCTTCTTGTACATACTTTCGAGGCCACTGATAAGCTGCTCGTTTCCAGTCCATTATATCTTAGTCCGTGGTTAATATCAATTTCGAATTCGATGTGAACCACTGTTCAAGATAGTAGCATTGTAATCAGTGATAGTAGGTTGCCCAACGAATGATAGTCTCTACCGAAATCACTATTCAAAACGGCTGGAAAATTCACCACTAGGTAGCTCTTGTATGAAATTTAGTGGCATTTATACCGCCCTGGCTAGCCCGTAAATTATGCTTTTAAGTTGGCACACATCATGGAGCAAGCGCTAGCAGTATAATGCTTATAGACGGTGGCATTGATGGATGGGTGCGGTGACGGCAAACTGCGTTACAGTGATAAATTATTATAATAATAATAAGTCAATATAACGAAAACGTTGAAATCAAAAACGACTTATGAGACTAGCTATTAGTAATATAAGTTTATTCATAATTTATTTAATTCGATTCAAACTTGTGAGAAATATACATGAATCATGATAATATAAAGGCGGGTTCCCACGGCGCGTGGCCCGCGAGCTTATACAAACCAATCAGAGTTCCCTTAAAATTATTTAAAATTTGCCACCAAATTATTCAGTTTAAAATAAGTACCTAGTACTCTATAATGCAGACCAGACACAAATTTCTGCTTGTGCAACTGCGTATTTTTTCATGTTAAGGTGAGCATAGTTGCAAATAACGTTTGAGATTTGGTGAGGAAGGGGTTAGCTTCCTAGGACTTTAGCAGTCCTACTTTAATAATATTGTAAAAGTTAAAAAAAAAAAATTTTAAATGTTTGAGTATAGTTATTGACATTTTTTTGGTGGGGGGGGGGGGGTTAGGGGCGAGCGCCCCAAATACCATAAAGCTCCTATTATACCTTTAATGGGGGCATGCAATAAATTACAAAGTCCCCATAAACTACCTATAGGTAAAACTAGAGATGTAAGCTTGAACATAATATTTTTATTGCAATTTTCTGAAAAATTTAATGTATTTTTCTTAATATAATTAATTGTGCGGTGGTAGGATTGATATGTGAGTTGAATATTAATTATTTAACTAGGAATTAAACGACTGTGGCTATTAAATAAAATTAAAATATACTTAAACGGGTACAAAGGTGTTAATATGCTTACAATCTAAATATTAAATAAAATATATTTATCAATTATAAATAGTTCTTAATTGTGGTCATGTGTTACAACTATAGATAACATTTAATTTGTAATAACTATTAACTACTCATAAAAAATAGTTAGTGGAAATATAGGTAACTCAAATAATAAGTATCAAAAAACGGAAAATAAATAAATGTAGGAAAACGTTTATATATTATACACTCGTCACTTATCGTTTATACTGAAGTAACATTACAAATTTTTTAACAGAAGATTAAAATAAAAATTTATCGCCGAGATAAAATTATTTGAATAATTATGGATTTCTTATATTAAGTTTAATAGTATGTACCTATACCTACCTAATTTTAAAATAATATTCAAATCGGTAAATGGTAATACTAGTAAATACATAGTTTTAAACATAATTATGTAGGTTAAATATATTATAAATTTATAACTATGTAATATAAAGAGATTTATTTTATAAGAAATTATTATGAGAAATTTTAGCGTAGATTCATTTTCACCGAATAATATGAACATTTTATGTACCAATATGGAAACATTTTCAAAATATTTTTGCTTTTTTTTTTAACTTTTTATAGGCATAAGAAAATGTTGCTGACTTTCACTGTCAAATAACTTAAAAATATTTTACAATTTACAAGGCTCATCATAAGTTGTTTTTAGTGACAATTAAAAAAGTTGAGAATAAATCTACAATAAATTTTTATGAGTATTGAGCGTATGAAATTGGAATTTTGACAAAATTCGTTAAAATTAAAATCACAAAAATTTGCCAATTATTTTGTGTTAGAAATTCATAACATTTTAGATTCTGAGTGGAGCGATAAATGTATTGATTTTACAATGATGTGTGTGTGTTTTTTTTTTTATTATTATATTTTTTTTGTGAGTACTGTTTGGGACGGTAAAACTACTTAAATTTTCTTCAACAGTACCTTGTTCGATGGGAAAGTGAATCTAGTTTTTGAATTCAGGAGGTCAAAATTCCCAATAGCTTTCAAAAGAGCCGGAAAAAACAGCATAAAAATTAAGGAAAAACGAGAATTTTTATGAAAAATCGGTCTTTGACAAAATCGATTTTGGTTTTTGGTGTAACTCTAAAACAACTGACCATAGATACATTAATATTGACTTGTTTTAAGCGGACAATTTCAAATTTAAATTTTTTAGTTTTTTTTTCTAATAATTTCAACAAAATTTAATATAAAAAGCTCTAATATATTGTTACAATGACATTTAAAAAATATTAAAAATCCAGTCACAATTTTTTTTAATGAACATTTGAAGTTCGATTTTTGACAACATTTATCAAATTTAAATTTCAAAAATGATTTTGTAGTTAAAAATTTATTAAATTTTCAACTTTTATAGCTAAGGATTGAAAACTTACAACAAGGTTTCACATAACATTTTTATTTTTAAATTGTAGATTATGAGTGGGATTAAAGAATACAGTATTTATGTTTTTTTCTATCCGGGGAAATAAAACAGCGTCAATTTTCTGACACGATTTCTTATGATAAGCATTTGACCCCCAAAAGTAGGTACTATGTAATTAAATTCACTTTCCTACCAGAATAAGGGGTGCTATATAAAAATTTACGCAGTTTTATATCTCCGGATAGAAAAAAATATAAATATCATTGTAAAATAAATACTGTATTCTTTAATCCCACTCATAATCTAAAATTTAAAAATAAAAAACGCGACGTAATAAAGTAAAATTTCGATCTATATGGTAATCGGAATTGAGTGTAGGTTTCATTATTTAACTCCAAAAACTCTAGAACCTTATAATTTCCCCATTCCGTGTTTATTAAGTTAAATTTATCTAATTTTTTTTAAATTTTTTTAGTTTAAAAAATCAAAAAAAATGTGTATGAGTGTACCTATATCAAATTGCATATACAACATAAAATAATAATGCTCTACAGTAGGCTCCCGAACCGCAAGCCTGTGGGAACGTTGTCTAAATTCGGGGCTTGTTTACTTTGGCGCGGACACATCGGACCGACAATTTTCGGATAGACACTAGCCTGGCCGAGCTATACCACGCGAAGACGAGCAAGAGCGTTCCCACGGAACGTGTAGTGCACCAAAGCCAGCACATTTGACTCGTGGATCGGCGAGATTCGCGCATTAGGAACCCGCCTTAATACGACTATTACGTACTTATGCTGTTTTTGTTTTTAACTATGCACAACCTAGTTTGTTTTTCCCTCATGCGTATAGAACAACAATCGCAGCACTGGTTACTTTCGCCTTATACTTAAAGGCGCACGCAGGTCGCAGATATAGATAATAAAATATAATAGTAATCTAAGTAGGTAGTGATAACTGATAACGTCAGACGGCGAAAAAGGCATGATGGTTGCAGCTGGCTCCACTTTATAGTTCATCAGAATTCTATGGTATGGTTGGTTCCATAGACCATAGGCACCGACTAGATAGGGGCTCGGGGGCCGCAGTCCCCATTGAAAAGATTAATCGGGGCTCATGAATATAATAAGGGCAAAAATGAAGGCTAAAAAGTAGTAAGTTCGGTCCCCATTGATATTTACGAAACCTGGCGCCTATGGTTGGTACTTGGTTCTGTATAGTGTTATCCTCGATGTAGAGACTCTTCTAACATAACACATGATTAACGTAATATCCAATTTATCAACTGGCAAGTACTTCCTTCAAATCCAATCATTCATACTAATATATTCCGTAACAAAAATTATTATCCTATTATGAGTTATTACTGTTATGTACTAATTTTGTTGAGTTATAACTTAATGAGTATTTTAATACTATTGCTGTGTTTATTTATAATTGCATATCTTTTTTTATAGTAAACATTTTTTGCTTTTTATGAATTAGACTATTTATGTGTATATTATACTATTTATGATTCATTTTATTGAAAATATATTTTGTTTATAAAACTTTATTATTATTTAAAAAATAATATTTTACAATAATTTTATTAATTTTAAAAACATCGGGATACCTACTTATATTTGGGATAAAATACGACTAACCTGAAT